AATAAAGAAATAGTATGTGGTTCCCAACAACGTCAATCATTGGACTATGTAAGTAAGTCACGGAATTTTGACACAGCGATCTTCTCACACTCTGTAGTCATCTCTGCACATGAGGGTGCTTCAATATTACCGCCAATATCTTCAATATTTCGATGGCTTTTTATTTTTCCATGTGTCTTTTATTAGTGTCATGATCTTTGACATATCTGTAATCTTCATTAAATTCCATTAGCTTCTATGCCTCCAACAGTAAACATACTAAGGAGGTTGTTGAAGTTATAGTGAATTTCTCTGAAATGCAAATGAATTATCTAATCAGGTAAAATAACTATTGATGAAAAAGAAACCACTAGATGAATACACCCGTTCAAACGTTGATATTGACACAAGATAGTTGTGATAATCAGTGCGCTGGGACAGAAATTCTAATCATATTGAAAGAGAAAGAGATAACTATAACAAATTCAGATGAAATAAATTCACTAGTAAAAGATTGGTTTTAATCATTCTGAATAGCCTCTATTCACTTTTCTTGGCGTATCGACCTTGGTCAGATAAGTTGGCTCATTTCATAACTATAGTGAAGCAATTTACATGAATACTGAGTACGATCTTGTGATTTTTTTTATAGAATCTTGTATTTTTGTACAATAAGGCTATGGAAAAAAGTATAGTTTCGATAAATAAAAATAAATATATGCATTCAAACATTTTTAACGTAATCTATGCATGGCGACCAAGAATCACTTGAGAATAATCATATGTTTGCTCTTGTCGAAGTAAGAAAGAAAGAAAAAAGAATATTCATCAAACACAACAAAAATCAACAATACAACGCAGACGTCACCTCATCGTTTCGACAATCTTTTCATAACATTATGTCTATAAATAGCTCGTTATTTTTTGTACAATGTATTCTGAGAATGAAAAAACAAAAAAGAAAAAATTTAAATTAGTTTTGCTTATCCAACGGGTTTTGGTGTGAGTGTCTTGATATGGTGTGTTGTTGTTAATTTAGATGGACGATTGTCAGCTTTCATTGTCCTTACCAATACTGAACTTACAAGATGAGAAATATTCAAAGTACTTCGGTATTTTCAGATAGTATCTAACCATTTTAAAAGAGTCCGAATGTGAATATGAATGCATCCTCTCTCCTTATCCATCCACACTACACCACATCTTCGAACTTTCAACGTGCGCTTATATGTCTGTTTATTGTCCTCCTTCTTGAAGGTTTATCAAGTTTTTTACTTCAGTAATATTTTGTCTGCCATTTATTAATTATATTACATTATGTTCAAATCAAATTAAATATTCGATGATTAGTATTCAAAATCCAGCATGAGAATTCTGGAATATAGCCTTTAAGAAATACAATATCAGTTTTTATAAATAATTTTCAATATTATATTTTCATTGACATATTACAAGATAAATATCAACGATTAATACATTCAATATTATCAAGCTCTGATTTTCAACATATAAAAGATTCTCGTGCATTATTATTAGCTGATATTCAACAACACTTATTTATACTTTAAACAAAAATAATAATAATATGGATGAAATTCTAATGATGAAATTAAAGTTTTCTTTAGAATATTAAGAATGGTTGAAACATATGATACTTTAGCATATTTAGATATTTTTTTAACAAGATTTAATTTCAATCAATTTTTGATAAGTAATAATGGATCATTCCAAAAATTTAAAACGACTGATCAAGAACATTTGTTGCGTTTCAATTGCTTATATTTATTTATACAAAAAAGAAAATAAGAAACAAAATCAGTAGTCAGTCAAATATAATAACTCTTATTGTTGATGAAAATGCATCTTGACTTCCTCCTAATATTAAAAGACAATGAAGAAATATCCAAAATGACATAGTCAGCTATTAAATCAGAGCCATGCATAGATATGAGAGAAAGCTGATAGTAGACACAGACGAACCACCAGTCGCCGTCTTAAGGTTGTAGATGCAGATGCAAGTTCTTTGTTCAACCTCACCTACACTCCCCAAAAGTCAGAAAATCACGTAGTTATGTTTACCATGCTAAAATATTCTTGTGATAGCGTCAAGTGTACTCTATAAAGACATAAAACGAGACACTAAGGTTGGAAACGTTATTTGTTGTTGATGTATGCGTTTGGCAAATTAAGGCAAAAAACACCTTCGTATTAGCAGAAAATAATTTTACAAACAAAACCCGAAATAACAATCAATATTATTACAAATTCACTTGCTTTTTGGGATTAATTTTTGATGATATGCTATTGAAACCAATATGTAAAATGTATATGGCACTTAAAAATCAATAATAAAACATGAGAAAACTACAAATGAAAAATACTGTGGCATACATGGGGGAGAAAATTTAATACAACACTGTTTCAAATAGCTCACATAAAAAATAAACGACACTGTTGAATTTCTGATAATAGATGAAAATGCATAAAGTGGAAAAGTTGATCACAATAAATAAAGTCTTATAAAACTAACTATTTGTAGAAGAGATAAAAAAAATAAGCTGATCATGTCATTTTTAATGATAATATTTTGGATAGATGGATAAGTGAATATCAAATAATGCAAGCACAGTGACAACCACTCTGATGATATGATCGTATGCATAGCATAGACAAGACTTTGAATGAAATACACAAATGCTATTCATCGCATTTTACTAGTAGTACAACCAATCAAACTGTGAATGTTGAAGATGCACCAAAACATTACGCTATGTTAATGTATCATTCATTCTATATGCTGTAAACACTGTTGCTAAAGTCAAGCATTGAACAAGATGACCATCGAACAATTAATGAAGAATTAAGCACATCAAATAACGGTAAACTATGGAGCTCCACTCGGAAAAGTATCCACAGAATTTGCAAAAAAGTCGATTTGTATCGAAAACATCGTTATTGACAATCGCATATGTGATTAACATGATATTGATATCACATACGAAGAAAAGATTATTGAAAGAAAAACAGGCAAAGTACTACAAGCAGCCGATGACTCTGAGAACATGATGTTAACAAATACCGAGTGACCCAAAAGTAAGGAAAAACAGTATTTTTTCGATTTCTATCTTATAGATCGTCCGTTAGGTCTCATATTTATACCACATACACTAGGTGATATAAGTAAAAGATGCAGCATATGAACGATATTTAGATGTGGTAATTAGTCCAAAAGCATTCAAATACAGAATGACTGAAAAGAAGAAAACATTTGTGATTTTCAACAAAATTTTTATTAAAAGTTCCTACAAAGAAAATAACATGCACAAAAGTATGCCTTTGTGAAGTATTTTTATTATGAAGTCTTTCACAAAAATTGTTCAATATGTTCACCTTCTAAATCTTTTCAAAATTGAAGTCTCTCAGGTACCGACTGACAAACTCTTCGACAAATTTTCACTGGTAAGCTTTGTAGTTCGGTGATTATAGCATCTTTTAGTGCTTGGAGATTTTGAGATTCGGTCGCATACACACGGCCTTTGATCACAGCCCATAAAAAAAAAACAGTCGGTGTGAGATCTGGAGATCGTGGTGGCTAGACAATCGATCCATGCCGACCAATCCACTGATTAGGAAATGTCTTGTCCAGAAAGTGCCGGACAGATTGAGCGTAATGAGCTGGGACTTCATCGTGCATATAGAATATCTCTTTTCAATCCATTTCACTTGCAATAGTAGGAACAATATCTTTTTGTAGCATCTCGAGACAGCTGTCTGTAGTAAGGTTATCACGAAAGAAGAACGGTCCGATGATGCCTTCAACCCAAATTCCAGCCCATACAGTGATGCCCGGCGTATTCATTTCTTGAGTAATGATGATATGAGGGTTTTCTATGGCGTAATAGATGCAATTATGTCGATTGACATGACCATTCAACTTGAAAATGGCTTCATTTATCCAAACAATTTGATTAGGTAAGAAAGAATCGTCAGCTAACAAGTTCAGAAAGATGTCGGCAAATTCACAATGTCTGTCAGGATCGTCTTCGTTCAAAACATGGAGTAATTGAGAACGATAAGGCTTCAATCCCAGTTCCCTCATCATCCGTTGGAGACTACTTCCAGGCAGATTCAGTTCCAAAGAAACTCTTCTTCTTGAAGTTTCAGGATTTTCTTCAAGAGCAGCACGAACACGTTCTCTATTATCGTTGGTACTAACAGACCTAGGACGACCAGATCGAGGTTTACCTTCGACGCTTACAGTTGCGCCGAATTTGCGCGTACAAGACTCAAAATGTTCTTTGGTGTTGAAGGAGTTCGATCGAAACGATTTTGAAATTGACGAGCAACTTCAGTTGCATTGTGGTAAACAGCGTATCATTTCACAATTTCAATTTTTTCAGATGGCGACAAACGAAAACTTATACTCATGGTGAAGAAAAATAGTTAGAACTATGTAAACAACAGAAACTGTAAAGTGAACCAGAAATAAAAAACCAGTCGATAAAACAGATGACCACTAGTATTGTTGTCTCCTAGATGCCACTCCTCGCACATATGTAGATACTACAAGAGAACAAAGAATAATATGGGTTATCATTTTTTTTTATATATGCTGTATTTGTGTCTTCTTGGAATAATTACTACGTCTAAATATCGTTCATATGCTGCATCTTTTACTTATGTCACCTAGTATATGTGATACACATATGAGACCTAGCGGACTATCTATATGATAGAAATCAAAAAAAAAAATACTGTTTTTCCTTACTTTTGGGCTATTCGGTATTTAGATGTTTTTTTAACAAAAAACCATTTCAATTGATTTTGTGACGAATAACAATGAATCATTTGGAAAATTTTAAACCACTAGCCGCCAAAGACATTCATTGAATATCAGTTGCTTTTTCTTTCTATTTGTTCTTATCTTTTTCTTTTTGTTTTGTTTGACTATAAAATAGATAAATAGCAACGGTTATTCGACTCCTGTTTTTATTTATGCAAAAAAGAAATCAAGAAATACAATGAGTGTTCAGTCGGATATAATCGATCTTGTTATTAATGAAAGTGAACCTTTAATACCTGCTGCTACTCAAAAGAAATGTATGTATTTTGATTGAATTTTGTTATATATACTTTTATTTTCTGCTTTTTTTTTGTCTAGCACATATGTCATGGATAATGGCTGCAGGACTTCTTGTTAATGCAGCAATGGGCGTAAGTTTATGTTTAACAAATCTTCTTCACCTTGACTTAAGAATAGATAGTAGTAGAGATAAATGAAAACAATAGATAGCATACAAATGTTATATTTGATAATAAAAGACCTCAAATCTTAATATCAGAAAAAAATATTCAATTAGATAATTCAAGGTTATCATCGTTAGACTTTTCATTATCTAGAACTTGTTGGAAAATTTATGTTTCTTCTAGACTGAAAATAGATTATTAGTTTATCAAGTTTAATTTGATTGATTAATATGATGTGTTGGCAATAATTGAATATACAATTACAGACGATATTAAAAAGTTTTTTTTTTTTATCAAGAGACCGAACTTTGATCTTCATGTCGTTTTGCAAATGTTCGCACTATAAGAACTAAAAAAAGAGTGAATTTCTTGCTCGTTACTTTATCTTAATAAATTGTTATTAAATTTCATTTTTTTTCATGCACAACAAATTTCAGAAACGTAACTTTTCATTTAAGATTCTTTTTTTTCTAACTACCTGAAAACAAAAACACACACCTTAGATATCAGACATAATGTATCTTTTCTGGTTACGTAAAACATGGCAGAGAGAAAACGTTATCTTTGAGTTACTCAATAGCTCGTGTTGTACTCAAAATCATATGACTTAGTCTGATAGAAACAAAAGAAGACTTATAGTTTTAATACAAAGAAATAGCCAAAAACTTATGATTGCATCGCACATCGTACCATGCAAGGATTACGGTGGCATATGAGAAACACGTCAGACTGAAATTGTTTGCATCCTATGGGCTATAGTCATCTGAGAATGTTGTAGATCTATGTTAGCAAGTGAATATCTTTCTTGTGTGTTCGATCGTTTTACGCTGAAACCGAAATTCACTTTTTCAATTCACGGAAATATTCCGAAAAGATGAAAATTAATACTTGCTGTCGTTAAGGCTACATGTTCTATTGGAAGAGTTTACTAAACATTTATATTTATACTCATCTCTAATGTATCTTGTCCTTGAATAGATTGTGAATCAGCGTCCTATAATGCTAATAAAATTATTCTAATGATTCTATTTTTCAGCATTCCGGCCAACTATCGTATAGCCTTTTTATCTAGAAAAAATACTACAAGTTTTTAAGAACTACTTATGACTGGATCTGCTATGGCTGAGTACCTACATTCTTCGGCACGTTGGCATCATGACATGATTCTAGGAAAGCTACTAATACCTTTTTACTTCAGATCACCCATTCGATAGCATAATGACTATATTGGGACATACACATGTTCTTTTAGTTAGTTAGTTAGTATATCCCTTCATATATATATGTGTAAGTTTATGACATTAAAAATTAATTTTTCGAACCATGTATATTAAACAAAGGTCTTTTGTACTCTAGGCTGGTCTTCTTAATATTGCCAAATCTTATGATGATGCTGGTGGAATTGTGATTAGTTCAATTCTACATGCTGTATGTTTAATTATTTCAAAAACAAAAAAAAACATTTTTTAGTTTTGTTTTTATTTTTCGTTTGATTAATTATTAGATTGTTGTAGTTTTGGTAATTGGTTCATATGCTATTATATTTGTATGTTGTGATCAATCAACACCATCTTTTGAAAAGTTTGTTCTTATAAAATGTGGAAAAATGTGGCAAAGAGTTTGTTCTATTTGTATTATTTTATATATGTAAATTATTGATATGTTTCTTTTTTTTTTTCTAAAAAAAAAAATTTTTTTTTTTTTATTTCTCGAAATAATAAATTTTAGGTATGGTTTATGTATAACATTTTTTATTATTATTGGTGATCAATTAGATCGATGTATGATTGATATGAATTAAAGAATTTATATAATTTTGTTTGATTTAGTTCTGACATTTGCTGTTGGTGAACATTATTGTTCTCATTGGTATCTTGATCGTCGATTAATGATTATAATTACATCAATATTCTTAGTTTTTCCTTTATGTTTTTCGAAGTCAATGAAATTTCTTCAAATTCCAAGGTAAATTAAAAGAATCAAATAATGATTAATAAATTTTTAACTTAGTATGCTTGGTGTATTGGCAATAATTTACGTTATTATAATGGTACCTGTTGAATATTTTCTTCATCATCCAAAAGGTATTGTTACTAAAAAAAGGTATAGAATAAAATTATAAAAATAATTAATATCATAAACTTATTTCGATTATTTTTTTTAGTCCAGAATCATGGACAGATATTTTTCGTGTTTTACCAACAATGTGTTTTTGTTATCAAGTTTGTAGAATTTTAATTTTCATTTATCAATAAATGAAATATAAATTTTTTTTTTTCTAGGCTCAAGTAAATGCTGTACCAGTTTTTCTATCATTAAAAACTCGTATTGATTGTATTAAAGCAACATTAGCATCAACAATTGTTTTAATTTGTAGTTATTGTTTAGTAGCTATTTGTGGTTATCTTACATTTGGAATAAATGTTGATCATGATATATTAGTAAGAGATTAAATTATATTCAAAAGAGAATGATTAGAATTTTAATGAACAGTATCTTTCGGAAGATTTTTTTTTTTTTTCTTCTAAAAATTTAATTAATCAAATATTTTTGTCGAATTGATCAAAAAACAATTTTCATCTTTAATTAGATCTATTGGAAGTCTTGATGATGATAATAAATATCAAAGTTTTTATTGAATAATAAGATAGATGTTAAGACTTTTCTTGTCGTAAGTTGAATAGGTTATTGATAAAGAAAATTCAAAGCGTTTGGAGAAAAAGGTTTAGCATACTTTTTTTTTTAGAGTCTTCCTCAAGGATAGATTAGCAAAGAGATTTGAATAGTAATTTCAACAGGATTCAGACACCACCTACATCGTTCATAGTATAAAGCACTAATTATGATATTAAAATATTAATTAAAAAATGGTGTTGGTTACATTTGTTTTTGAGATTTTTTCTGTTTCTGATCGTTCATTAGAGTTAGGAAAGGTCTCAAACGATGCAAAATAGAATTCTCTACAATGGGAACTTAATAATAACTTTTACTAATTGATTGTATTTTCATAAGGGAAGGGGCATCCATGCTTGATTGTTGTCAGGTCTTTATTTTGAATCACAAGTGTTGTGCTAAATGACAAAACTATAAAAAGCTGTTAAGATGGTTTTCATATTTAGCAGTTTTCCACAAAACAACTTAAATAGTATATTTGAAATCGGTGCGAAAACCTAGATTCAGTTTTGAATATTGATCATGAATTTGGAATCATATTTTTATTGTGAAGAAACTTAGTCTATATAATAATCAATCGTTAGTTCAAAAGGTTATTGAAAAATATTCAAGTGCACCGTTTTTGATTCCTTATAAAAATTTGTGCGTGACTATGTTTTCTTTGATTGATATTTGAAAAGATAAGACATGTCAAGGACTATCAGAAACTAGATTCATTTTTTTCAAGTTTCATGACATGACAAAATTACAAACAAATTACGAACAAAAGAATGATTATCAAGCACAAACTGTTTTTCCTTTATGTCTTTTGAAATCTTTCCTGACTCAAAGGATTAACTAATAACTAAATAAGATTTGAATATCATAATTAATATTCTATACAGACATGTAGTCGATTGAAGTCTGAAATGAATGATATAGAAAAGATCTTTTTAAACTTTTCTTTTCTTTACTTGATAATACACTATTAGTAGTCATTTCTTAGATCTGAATTTTCTTGAATTGTTTTTTTTGTATTAATAAATAAATCACATAAAATATCTGATCGATACGAACTTGTTAATCGAAGTACATTCAAATCAGTTCGAAAATCTAATCTTACATTCATTTGAAACGTGATACCTACCTATACAGAAAAAACAAATCTTTAAACTAGGTAACTCGGTCATTGATTTCAAGTAGGAAACCCTTTGAAGATGAGAAATTAGTTTCTTCTTTCATTAAAAAGGAAACTTCATACGAATTCAAGTATCAAATATCTTACTATAAATTCAAAGAAAGTCTCCTATACGATAGACTATGAACAGGAAAATTAAACCAAAAAAAACAAGAAGTTCACTCGGAAATTTGTTGACAATATAAGTTACACTATCGTACTAGTTTCCATAGAAATGATTGTTTCTATTGTTTTGACAATAAACATTTAAGATGTCAGATATTTCAAAAAAATTTACTGATGTCATGTTCATAAATAAGTAACAAATTTTTAATTTTGTCATATTTATAATAAAAACTAAATATATTTCATTAAACTAGATGTCTTATGATCCTAAATTAATACCTGTTCTTATCGCAGTTATTATGGTTGCAATAAAAACTTATACAGCATATCCAGTAAATATATTTTGTGGCAGGTATGAAATGCAAAAGAATAAAGAAATATAAAATGGGAAATTTCAATTAATTACTTTTCTTTTTTTTTTTTTTTAATTTTATATTAGAACTGCAATTGATTCATTTTCTACAAAACATGAAGAACATTCAATAAAACGTCGTATTATAATTGTTTGTTTATGGTTTTTTACGACATTAGTTGGTGCTGTTTTTTTACCAAATATATCATTAGCAATACATTATTTAGGTGCACTTGCAGCAAGTTTTATTTTTATTTTTCCAGGTTAAAAATTTAAGATATAGTTTTTGTTGAATTTTTTTATTGATATATTATTTTATATAGGTCTTTGTTTATATTTTCATATTGAAGAAAATTGGATATATTCATGGCAAAATATATTATCAATTAGTTTAGCAATTTTTTATATTGCTATTGGTGTATTTGTTACATTATTAACTTTAGTACAATCATTAATGATGGATATTAGTTCAAAAGAAAGTTCTAGTAGAAATATATGTTAATAAAAAAACTGTAAAATTTTGTAATATCAATTAATTAACTTATGAGTTGTGTCATATAAATATTCTTTTTTTTTTGTTGTTTTTTTCGCGAATATTTTATTGATAATTTGAAAATTTTTTGCATATGTTGAAAAATCTCTTGTGTTCAAAACTTAAATTAAATAAATATTCATTCTTATTAATAATGATTAATTGTTTCAAAAATGAATGTTTTTTGTTAACTTGTAACATGATTATGCTCAAAAGGTTTCAATTATTAACAATATCGAAATTACTATCGTAATAAACATTCTTGTTGATAACTGAAAAAACAAAGAATCATGTTGAAAATATAAAATATTCATAATTTCATTTATCTAGAATGTTGATTTAGTAAAATTAAATAAATTCTATTTGAGTATTGAAGCTAGGAAATATTTTCACATAACTAATATTAAAATATTTCTTTAATAAGCAGTATTTTTTTTTCTTTGCAGAAGATCTGAAATTTTCACGAGTAAAAAAATCGAGTCAAATGTATTCATTATTAAACATAATGAATTAATGTTTGTGATAAAATATTTATTTTAAGAAATTATGATATGAACTGTTAAGATTGAAATCAAATTAACAAAATCGTTAGTATATTTATGAGTTTCTTATATAAAGTTACAAAAGAAGACTGTCATAGTTTAGTCAATATACCCATATTTAATGTTGTTAATCTTATATTTGCTCTTATTTAATGAATTGATTTTTTTGTAAAAGAAAACAGAAATCTTATCCAACTATATGCCATTAGGCTTATCTTGTCTTTTTTATTATTCTATCCAGAGTTTCATATAACTTATTAAAAACATACACAATGAACTATTCAAGAAAAAGAAAAACAAGTCTTGTGATTTCATCTTTATAGAATAAGATGTTATATATGTACTAATAATAGATACTCCTCTCTAAGGACCATATAATGTACGATGACGTCATATTTTTCTGAAATATGATTATCTACGACATTACAAAATAGATTGTTTTTTTTTCTTTTTCTTTGTCAAATAAGATGTGAAATTCTAAAGCAAAAAAAAAAAAATTTCATAATAATCTCTGATAGAATTATATGAAATTGTTCTAACAATAACAAAAAATTAAATCTAATTTAATATTCATCATATTTAAAACATTTTATTTTTTTTTTTTTTCATCAATTAAAATTAAAAAAATTTATGAATTATTATTTATTGTCAATGGAATTAAAGTTTATGTTACTGTTGTTGGTATTGTTATTGATGATGATGATGATTGTCTTGCAAGTTTTTGTTCCGTATTTTTACATGGAAATTTAATATAATGTATTTTTTGTTCATGACTATAACCATTATTTGTATTTATATTATATGATAATGAATATTTTTTTGGTTGTTTTAATGAATATTCATTATTATTATTATAATGATAATAATTATTTTTTGTTTTATATTTTGATTTTTGAAGATTAAAATTAAATGATTTTTTATGTTCTTTATTTGTTATAAATGATGTTTTTCTTATATGATTAAAATCACATATTGAATATCGATTATATTTTATTGAATTTTTTTTTGTTAAATTAATATTATGTAATGAATTTGTACGTCGATATATTGAATGAAGTTGAGATGTTGATTGAAAAGATGGTTTTCGTTGAGAATAAAGAGTTCTATTATTTGGTTGTTTTTCATATTTCCAATAATTTGAATGAGCAGCTTTTAACTTCAAAATTCAAAATAAATAAAAAAAAAGAAAAACATGAGTATATGACAAAAAAAAAAAATTCTTATTGAAAATTGATTTTCTTCTGAGTTTTATATTTCTAATGAATCTATTGTTATAGGTAATGTTACTATAATATTTTTGTACTCAATATGAAACTAATCTACTTACATTCAATTGAATTTGTTGTAATGTATGCATATGTGAGTTAGTTCGTGCTAATGTTTGATGACTTGATGTACGTAATAAATAACTTCGATCTTTTGTATGACAACATACATATGTTAATTCACGACGAAATTTTCGATTAAAACAAGCAAAAACAAAAAAATTAACCTAGAAAAATTAGAGTTGTTTTAAGTAGTAAAACAGCAGAAAAAAAAATTTTCATCGTACTGTACTATTGAATAAAATAAGAAAATTTGATATATCATAACAAATATAAAGCCATTTATGATTTCGATAAAACATATAAATATAGTGAAGTATTGATGCTGGTACTTGACATATCGTAAATAAACCAATCAAACATATAACTGAACGTGTTATAACACCTTCTCTATAACGCATTGTATTTGTTTCACGTGTAAGACGTGTATTTTTTACATAGAGTGGTGTACAATGTTGAAGAAAATGTGAACTAGCATGAACACTTCGAATAAGTTCAACATTAAAATATGATAACATTAAAAGTGGAAGAATACTTTGAAAAAGACTATAAAGAACTTAAAATAAAATATTAAATTTTATATTAAATAAATTAAAAAGAAAAAAAAAAAAGATTATTTCTTACTAAGATGGACGGTATATTGATAAATACTACTGCTTTGTAATTTATTTGTTATCACAATATGATCAAAATATTCTGTATAATTGTCAAATACAGTTAATTCTTCACGTCGTACTTCAGTTTTATATTCAAAAAATCGTGGTAATGAATAAACAAAACCCAAACAATAAATTGTCACAACAATATAACTTGAAAGAAAAAAAGAAAAAAGAAACAAAATTAATTTTCATATTAATATAAATTTATCAATTTAATTCTGACCTAGACATAGTCTTTTTTTTTTATTATTCATAGTTATAAATATTAAATGAATATATACTCAAGAAAAAAAAAAAAACGATATTTATAAAACTAAAGCCTAAATTATTTAATAAATATATTATTTTATCAACGAGAAAAAGTACGTATTAAAATTATTTAAAAGAACAAAAAAAAAAATCTTTTATTGAAAAACTATTATATGTCTTTCTTTTATTTTTTCAGATTATCACAAAAAAAAAACAAAATCAATAATGAAAATACTACAATAAATATCATGTAATCTTTGAAAAGATTGAATACGTTCTAACCATCAGATATTTGATTAATGATTTAATTTATAAAAACAAAAATGAATAAATTATATATTCTCATAAAACATGACAAACTCTTCATTGTTTGTTTGTTTTTTTTCTATTCAATAGATACACCAACAATATTCTAAGTAATTTTTTGTCTTTTTTTTTTTTGAAGATTAAATCTATTTTAATCTTAATGTCATACATTCGTAGAGTCTCGAATTTGCCCTCCAAGAACAAGATGAATATCTGTTCGGGAAAATAAATCTTCAGATGTCTGCATAAGCTACATAAAAAAGAAAATCAAACTAACCAAGCTCGTTTGGAGCTATGTGTGTAATGAAGCATTGGCCATTTAATAGCAAACCATCGATCAATAGCAAAACCAATTATCACCCAGACACTCGTAAATTGAAACCATATTATACAAGCATAGACATATGGAAAAAGATATTTATGAAGTCTTGAGGAATAAAACGATTCACTTTGTCGATTTGGTGGTATAGAAGAATTAATAGCAAAAACAAGACCAAATAATAATAGACAACTATCACTAATACTCAATGCAGCTAGATAAGTTGAAACGACACTACGCTATTTGAATTAAAAGCAAAAAATAATTTAATTAATATATATATATATAGATAATTGTATTAATATTTACCATCTGACGACGAGTAAATATATAAACAGAACATAGAGCAAGAACAAGTCCTATTGAACATATAGTTGTACCTATTTTGAAATATAATTAGATAAATTTTTGTTGTTTTTTTTTTTATTATAATTGTTGTTAAATAAAATATTTTCTTACCAACATAACCAAATAAATAATGTGTAAATAACATGAGAGACATGTCGATTTTAACCATTATTTAAATACGTCTACTACAAGAAAATAAAGTAGAAGAATATGCAAAATCAATTCATTATCTATTTGAATAAAATAGTTTTCTTCCGTTATTTGTCTTTTACAATAGTAAAAAGATTATCTTTTCTTTCTGACATTGTCTCAACCAACTGTTAGCTTTTCTCTCGTTTTCTTTTCTTTTTTCTTTTTTTCTATATTATTATATAAAGCTATTTTCTTATTCTTTATATATATATATATATAAATAGAAAGAGTTATATGGCATGTTTTGAATATGAAAGATTTTTTATTATTATATAAGAAATCAGAATATCTTAATGACATCAATATAAGATGAATGGCATAAATTTAAGTATAGAGAAAAAAGAAAAAATAATATAATTATAGTTTTATAGAGTGAACTCTCATAGTATGTTAATGTATTTCTAAACTATCAACTATTCTGAGTATAAATATATAGTTGATTATGAAACATTACTTATATCAAAGTCCAAGTAAAAAAAAAAAAACTAAAATAGAAATGAAAGATAAAAATAAAAAAATATAACACAGTTTTTTGTATCATTGGTAATTATCATAATATAAATCAAGGATAGAAAATAAGATAATGAATAAGAAGAAAAATTATACTTTCGGGTATACTGATGAATGAAAATGATGACGCATAGTGAACTGAAAAGAATGATCTATCATGTAATTACACATTCTAGCACATTTTAATACATGAAAGTGACAAAGAAAGAACAAGTCAATAGGTAAATAAGAAAATTTTTTTATGTCCTGGATTCTATATGAAATTATAGTTTTCTTTTCTTTATATTACATACAGATTAAAATAGAATCATATCTTCCTTTTTTAAACACTTATGTTTATATTAATCAAAAAAAATAAATTTTATTAAACAATATCTTCAATATTTATCTATTAAGCTCAAATTGAAATTGTATTAAAGTGCGATACATATCGAAACCATATAAGTTTTTGAAAAGAAACAAATTTCAGGAAAGGATGTAGAGAAAAAAGACGGCAGATCATTTTAAAGGTTTAATAAGAGGTATTTCCTGTAGTCATACAAAAATGCTCTAACTACACTAAAAAAAACAAACAATTATCTTCACAGATACATATATATAGGGAAAAATGTGTTTTGATCACCAAGTTAATTAAGACATGAGTAAATTGAAGTGGCATGATGTGACTGTGGGTATCCGATGTTAGGAAAAATTTAAAACTCAGGTTGGAACCGATAATTTAAGATCGATAAAATTGATCAAATAGCAGTAACAAGTCAAATGGATTAGAAAAATAAATCTGTAAATCAGAGAAAAAAAACCAACTGACAAAATCAAAATACAAATAGATTGAAACGGGGCTGATTTATTCGACTTTTAACAATGGAATAAGCGATTTTGTTCTAATTTTAAATTCTTTTACACAGAATTTATATTATCTTCATCAAGAAGCCCACGCTCACCCTCACCTTCACTCTTATTCTCATTTTCAACATTATGTTAACTCTTCCACTCTAATTGATACATGCCTTGATTAATTTTGGTGATCAAAACACTCATTTTTTTGTGATCATTTCGCAGATAAAAAATTTGGTGATCAAAACTCAACTTTTTGGTGATCAAAAAAATGCTGATCCTTAAAATTATGCACCAAATAAGGGCAATGTTATATTAACCTTAAAATTATTATAATTTTAATATGAAACATGGAATAAAATTTCAACATATAATATATGAGTATCTTATGAGAGAAATCGAAGGCTTCTTTTTTTTTTTTCTTCCAAATGACATACTGATTATAAAATCAGCATGAAATTTTCTGTTTGATGCACATTAATAAATCATGAACATGTGCGTATGTACTTGTCATGAGAATGAGCTTAAATAATGCTGAAAATCTCTATCTTCATATTAAATACAGAATTTTATACATGAAATAAAAAGAAAAAAACCTTGTTTATCTATTATATTTGCAATAGCCAAAAACAAAACCCAGTCATACATATTTATATTTTTATTAACCGTATAATCAGATAATAAAGGATAACTAATGATAATTATGAAACATATCAGATATAATAAAATAATCAAAAAGAAAAACAGCATCGATATAACACAGACATGTCAAAATCTTATCAACAACTATGGACTGTTTATTATAACTTTAATTTGTTTCATGTATTATACTTTGTTTTTAAATTTCTATAAGAACAAAATAATAAAAATTTCAATAGTTTAGCCAGATAAAATAAGGTCACTATTAGGTTAATTATGTCAATTTTTTTGACATGTTTTATTTTAATATGAAATACTTCGTATGTTATGAAAATAATATAGGAAATGTCTATATCAATAAAATATAATGATTTAAAATCTTATTTATCCTTTCATATATTTACAACTTTTAACTATTTTGTATTTTTTGTACTATGCGATAGTGTTGATTCTCTTAAAAAACAAAAATAACATTTCTAATCTGTATAAAATAGTACTTTTAATATGTTTATTATCCAGTAAGAGGTTGTAAATCTTAAGGATTAATATAGTCTCTAAAATCCTTCTCAAATATTTTTTATGCTACAACATATTAAACGACACGAATAATAATCAATTTTTTGTTTTGGTTAACAAAATTATAACCAATATTCTGACATCTATTAAAATTTTGAAAAGAAAAAAAATCTGACAAATGATTCTAATAATAGTGAAATAAGATAAAAAAAGAATTTAAGAATATAAGATTAGTTATTTTTTATTGATCTTCATTATAAAAGAACAATAATTCTACTATTAAAAAATTTTCTTTAAGAAAATCCTTCTTCAGATTTAAAAATAAAAACTAAAGAAATTACATTTATATTATTTGTAATCAAATACATTAATATAGAAAAACGTTAGACTGAAATAGGAATACTCATCAATAAGAATGACGTTAGCTGTCATAAGCATTCTGATATGACATTTATCTTCATGATAGAAATATTTTCGTGTTTATTAAGAAAGTCTATTTTGTTTACTATAGATATCTTTATATGACATATTAAATGAAGAGTCTCTATTATTTAAATGTCTAGAAATGATATGAAACTGTATAATTCTATCAAATTAAAATATTTCTATTTATATTACAATAGTTTAAACAATGTTAATTAACTATGTTTGTACTTTGATTATATCAAATAATTTTCGTATATTGAATATTTATTTTAATATCAGTTAAACATAAAACTTTCACAAACGAACCGGTACGTCAACACTTTACATGTTCCGTATGCTAATATCTGATTCAAGATAATACATATATGTATGTATCTATATATGTATATTCATATTTATACGTGTTTTTTTTTCAATCATTATCAGAAAATAATAATAATAATAATAATAATAATAAACAACAAAAAAAAACAACAAGCAAAGACAAAAAAAAAGAGAGAGAGAGAAAAACCATGGCAAAAATGAATATTAAGAGAAATACTAATACAAGATTTATCCAAAGGCAAGAAAGAAAAAAAAAAAAGAAAGAATTCACATGTTATAAGAAGACATATAGAATATGTAAATAATCACAATATGCAGCGGAGTGTATGTGGGTGAATGTGATTTTAATATATAATTGTGAACAATCTATCAGCAGTGTATTGGAACAAAAAAAAATAGAAAACAAAAAGCATCACAGATGGGAAGAAGAAAGTTCTTTTGTTTCTTTTTTTTTTTTTATTGCACATTGTGCATTTTCTTTTCTGTTGTTGTTGTTGTTGTTGTTTCAATTGTTTTTATTGTTGTATCATTATTATTAATATTTGGTGTTTGTATTCGACATATACGTTTTACTTTTGCACGATGATTTTTAAACCATAAACGTATATGTTTTGATTCAAGTTTAGGAAATTTTGTTCGATATTCACCTTCATTTAATTCTGAACATATACGTTCAATTAATACATGATCAGGATGTGTTTCAATAGCAAACCATTGTTCTAATTTTGGTACTTCAGATGTTGGATCAATAAATATTCGATTACGTCTTGAACGATTGTAATCAAATGATGTTGTTGTATTTGATATTTTAGTTGAATTTAATGATATTTGTGTTGGTGGTGTTTGTTCACTTATTGAACTAATATTATCATCATCATTACTTTCATCGGATAGTGTTGCTTTTTGTCTTTGTTTATCTGTTAATGATATATCAAATGCTTGTAAATAATTAAAATAATAATTATTATGATTTTGTTGTTGTTGTTGTTGTTGTTGTTTGTGTTTTTCATCAATATCAATATCATCATCAATATCATCTTCAAGTTCATCTGATGAATCAAGTTCACATTTAATTGATTGATGATTTTGTTCATCATGATTATCTATTTGTTGTGGTGATGATGATAAATTATATGATTGTTGTTCTTGTTGTATTGAATTATCTGAATTACCAAAACGACGTTTTTTACGTTTTAATGCAGCACGTGCATTTTTAAACCAATATTGAATATTATATGGTTCAAGAGCTTTTTTTCCTAAAATATAAATATAAAAAAAAACTGAAATTGAATTTTAATATGATAATAATAATAAGATTAACCTTTTCGACATGGTAATGAATTAAGACTTTCACATATAGATGCAATTTGATAACGTGTTGGATGTTTTGTATCAGTAAATATTTGTAATAAACGTGGTGTTTCTTCATGTGGATCAAATGTTGTACGTTCACGTTGTCGACGATTGTATGCATAATCTTTTATTGTTGATGATGGATTTGTTGGTGTTGTATCATATTGTTGTTGTTGTTGTTGTTGTTGTTGAGCAAATGATAAAAGACTAGCAAATGGATAATTTATATAAGATTTATTTGAATTTAATGTTGATGAATATTGTTTTTTTGAAAGATTTAATGGAGTATTATCACTATAATTTTTTTTTTTTGTAATAGAAAATATTTTTAATTATTAAAAAAAAACATAATTTCGTTTTTTGTTTTTTCTTTAC